TAACTAAATTTAGTTAACTAAAATCAGTCGACTAACTTTTTATAAAAAGTTACTTAACTTTTTATAAAAAGTTAGTTTAACTTTTTTTAAAAAGCTTTTTAACTTTTTATAAAAAGTTAGTCGACTGATTTTAGTTAACTAAAAAGTTAGCTAAAAAGATAGTCGGGTAATTTTAGTTAACTAGAAAGTTAGTCGGGTAATTTTAGTTAACTAAAAAGTTAGTCGGGTAATTTTAGTTAACTAAAAAGTTAGTCGGGTAATTTTAGTTAACTAAAAAGTTAGTCGACTAATTTAATTTAACTTAAAAGTTAGTCAACTAATTTTAGTTACGGTATTTTTAGTTTAGTTAGTTAAAATTTTTAGTTTTGGTCACAACACTATTTTTTAAGCAGAATCAAAAAGCGGATAAAAAAATACTCTCTGAAAAGTATAAACTTTTTTAAAATAAAGCAAATTAGCATTAGCTCAAGATAAATCTTTTGTCGTTGTATCGCTTAAGAAAAAATATATATATATATATATATATATATATATATATATATATGTATATATATATATATATATATATATATATTTATATGTATATATATATATATATATATATATATATATATATATATATATATACATATATATATATATATATGTATATATATATATATATATATATGTATATATGTATATGTATATATATATATATATATATATATATATATATATATATATATATATATATATATATATATATATATATATATATATATATATATATAAGAAAATAAGCAAATTTTGTTTTTAAATGTATTTTGTTATTTTTAAAATTAGTTTTTTTTTCACAATAATAAAGCATAACAATTTAAAATATTTTATCAAAAAATTTTTTTGAAAAAAAAATAATTTTTAGCTGAGATACAAGACTTCAAGCATAATTGTACTGTTATGCCCCACCGTTCCGATATGCCCTGCTCAACCCTATCTCAATTTTTTAAAAATAACAGGTAAATATGAATAACTTACAATATCTAGAGTAAGAATATATATTTTGCTTTTTATCCAAAAAATTTTTATTCGCAAAATATTCTTTAAATAATTAAGGTGATGCTGTACTTTATTTTACCTATCTTTTTTAATTTAATGAAGAGCTGATCAATTATATAATTTAAAAACTTCTTTTTTTGATTGCGAAGACTAATTACATATTTCAAAAGGAAATCGATTACTTTTTTAGTTTTTGCGGAAAACTGCTTCGTTATTTTTTTAAAAAGCTAATATAATGCGCATGCTCACAATAAAATACTATGGTTAAATCACCGTGACTTTGTTCTGATTTTAAAAATGCTCCCTTTTTATTTTTATAAGACAAATACTATCGAAAAAACAAAAAGAAGTTTCAATTGAGTGACACAACATAAAACCTGTTTCTCTCTTTGGTACACAGTAGAAAATTATTTTTGTAATAATAAAAAAAAAGTAATAAGAAGAGAAGTATAATTTAAAACAAAAATATATCAAGAACTTTATTAGAATTTTACATTAATTTTTTTTTCCTCTCCATTTAAAGCTGGGGTCATCAATCCCATCATAACGAACCCACCGCTGAAAAGATCTTTCAGTCAATGGCCCAGGGTGTTTTGATCGATAAATTCGATATGCTTCCCATGTTAGATCTAAACATACAATATTTTTATGAAAACAATTATATTATAGTTTTATATCTTTTTTAAATCTTTATATAACATTTTCTTTAAACATAATATAAGAATTTTTTATACACATAATATGTAAACACACAATATGTAAACTTTTTAATCATTAGTTTAAAATGAGGCGAACACTTTTTTTTTAGAAGATCACAATCTAAACTAAATTCTAAAGATATATAATCTAAAACTAGAATACAGATAACGTAATATAAAACTAGATTTGTAATCTAAAACTAGAATACAGATAACGTAATATAAAACTAGATTTGTAATCTAAAACTAGAATACAGATAACGTAATATAAAACTAGATTTGTAATCTAAAACTAGAATACAGATAACGTAATATAAAACTAGATTTGTAATCTAAAACTAGAATACAGATAACGTAATATAAAACTAGATTTGTAATCTAAAACTAGAATACAGATAACGTAATATAAAACTAGATTTGTAATCTAAAACTAGAATACAGATAACGTAATATAAAACTAGATTTGTAATCTAAAACTAGAATACAGATAACGTAATATAAAACTAGATTTGTAATCTAAAACTAGAATACAGATAACGTAATCTAAAACTATCGGTATAACTATACTTTTAAGCTCCTTATAAAACAAAATCTAAAAGTTATACTTTTAAGTTCCTTATAAAACAAAATCTAAAAGTAGCCGTGCAATAGTAGGAGAAGCAAATGTAAAGATGACATAGTGTGATGATAGGGTGACACAGAAACAATAAATAATGCTACTAAGATAAAAAGAAGCAAAAACGCTTTGAAAAAAATAGCGTGCTACGTTGGTTGTGAAGAATTTTTAGTAGCTATATTTCAAAAAATGTCCATCTTAGTTCTGTATAATTTCATATTTGAAATATATATATAGGAATAACAGATGCATGTACTTACAAAACGTACCCTTTTTTTTAATCCAGTTTTTAGGTTGAATTTGTTCATTTAAATTATCACGATAATCGGTTTGATTCTGACGAATACATTCAATTGATGTATCAGTAGAATGACTACGACTTTTACTTCGACTTCTTCTTCGACTTCTACGCCTATTTCCTTTTGAATGGGAAGAAATGCTACTACCAACATCAGAACCGAGAGATATATTGTAAGATTCATCTTTCTAGTATTCAAAATAAAAACAATAAAACTAAAATTTTTAAAATTTATAATAAGATTGCAGATAATGAAATATAACTAAAAAGTTATCGCATAATTAATACATTATTTTAAAATTTTCATTTAAAGTTTTTTGATTTGAAATTTTCAATATGATAAATGATTTTTTAATTATGTTTCATTCATAAAAAAATAACAGTTACAATAACTTTAAATTTGCTTACATCAATTGTTTCAGCAATAAAATGTTTTTGTTTAGATTGGATATTTGTCAAACTATTAAAGGACAAAGAAAGACCAATGCCACTTTGAACTGAACTATCACGTAAATTGTCTTTAAAATATTTAAAAAAAATTTTTAAATATGACACATACACAAATCACACACAGAAACAATCAAGGGATATATAAATAAAGTTAATATACTTGTCATTTTCTTCTGATTTTTACTGTATCCTTCTAGTCTCTTTTTATAAGGTGGGATAACTTTTTCTTTTTCCTGTTCTTTTTTTTCTTCATTCTTAATTTGATCAAATAATTTCAGATTAAGTTCATCTCTCGTTTCTACCCAATTGCAATCACGAAGATCAATTATATTTCTAATTTCAGACTTGATTTTAGTTGATATATAACGGTAATCAATAATTTTGTTCAATTGGGTAAAATAATGATCTACTCTAAACTATATATATATATATATATATATATATATATATATATATATAATATATATATATATATATATATATATATATATATATATATATATATATATTTATATATACAAATATATTTGTATATACATATATATATATATATATATATATATATATATATATATATATATATATATATATATATATATGTATATATGTGCATATATATGTATATATATGCATATATATATATATATATATATATATATATATATATAAATATATATATATTTATATATACAAATATATTTGTATATATATATATATATATATATATATATATATATATATATATATATATATATATATATATATATATATATGTATATATATGCATATATATATATATATTTTTATATATATATATATATGCATATATATGCATATATATATATATACATATATATATATATATATATATATATATATATATATATATATATATATATATATATATATATATATATATAAATATATATATAAATATATATATAAATATATATATATATATATATATATATATATATATATATATATATATATATATATATATATATATATATAAAATATATATATATATACACTAAATATAATATTAAATATATACTTTTATCAATATATATTATAATATAATATATTATTAAATATATACATAATATAATATATTATTAAATATATACAAATAATATATACAGTATCGAACAAAACAAGTGCAACCAAATAATGCTAATTTAGTTTCTATATATAAAAGTGCTGCATTTTTTCAATTTACAGAAATAACTATGTAACTGTTTAGAGACAACGTTCTTCAAGTTTTATTCATCACAAAGTTCATTATTTGTACACGAAAATTAATAAATTAATCAAAAGTTTAAAAAAAAAAATTGATTTCCTTATGGACAAAACAAGTGAAACTCCACAAAATGTTGACCAAGCTGTATTTCGCTTGCCTTGCATCTTCGAGGCATAGATTCAATCATGTGATCAATGAAACTTTGTGAAATCGCTGCCCAGGCTTTTTGGATTTGTTCAAACAGTTGATCCTTATTACGAACACCTTCACGATTATTCACTTCACTTCCGGAGATTGAGGCGACCAATCCATCACCGATAGGTGATTGTCTTGAAACCACTGCTTGACTACTTTTGCAGTGTGTTTTGGATTGCTGTCTTGCTGAAAAACCTATTTTATTGGCATATTTCATTCAGGTAACATAACATCTTTCAGTATCTTTTTATACATGAAATGGTCCATTATTCCATAGCCAAAAAACACCCCCAGACCATTACATTGCCTACACCATGCTTCACTGTCTTATGGCAGTAACATAAATTGAGGCATTTTCCGGCTGGTCGACGTACAGGGCAAATGCCATCGCTCCCAATGATGTTGAACTTCGATTCATCACTGAACAGGACAGTTCACCGTTTCTGCACATTCCAGTCAATATGAGATGTAGCAAACAGGAGTCTCTGCTGCCAACTTCCCCGTAGAACGATTTTGGAACAGAGTTTCAATATGGTCCATTTTTTCACGCGATATTTATCACAAATACTTTTTTGTGACACTCCACTTACATAATTGCCAATAATTTTCTTTCTTAGTTCCAATCCAAGACTGTCGGGAGCCATTTTTGCCCTTGAAGTCATAAAAATAAAAAAAATAAATAACCACGCTTCTCAAGGCTTACTGTGTTACATTTACCTTGTGATGATCCAATAATGATCTGTGGAACACAACGTCTTGGTTGGATGTGGACTTTATTGATGTAATGAAACACTTGTTGTATTTCACTCTTTGTATTGATGTTCTTTGATAAAACACTTTGATAAAACTCACTTCAATAAACTGTCTTGATAATACTGACTGATTGACTTCCATATACTGACTGAATTACATGTCGGTTTAATGTCTCTTATATAGTATGTTCTGGAAGATTCTAGATGCTTCTTTTTGATGCTTCTGGAAACTTCTGGATGCTTCTGAATGTTTCTGTATACTTCTGGATGCTTCCAGATGCTTCTTCTGGAAACTTCTGGAAGCTTCTGCATGCTTCTGGAAACTTCTGGATACTTCCTTTAATTCTTAAAAAACTTCCGTGAAGTTGACACGGACCAGACTTAAGAAAATGAAACAAACCAAAAAAGTTGCACTTGTTTTGTCTGCTGCAAAATGGCACTTGTCAACGAATTTCTGCCTGTGTGCTGTCACCTGTCAGCTGACTGCTTATGTCATGGCATGCTATGACTCCAGACTCCTGAACTGTTTGCTTTGGTAGTATTGTTTGTTTCGTTTTTAAGGCATAAAATTAGGAACACTTTTTAGCATTGTTCGATGTTGGTTGCAAATGTATTGTCCAATACTGTATATACATATACATATACATATACATATATATATATATATATATATACATATATATATATACATACATATATATATATATATATATATATATAATATATATATATATATATATATATATATATATATATATATATATATATATATATATATATATATATATATATATATATATATTAGGGTGGGTCAAAAATTTTTTTTTTCTTGTTACAGGCTCTAAACATTGCTAATAGTTATTAATATTGATACTATCAAATATGAGAATGATTGTGATAGATTTAAAGGGCGCAACTTTATTGGGAAAATTACCGGTACCCTAATATTTTGGAGAAAAAAAGTTTTTCAAAAGTAGGTCAACCTGGTACTCAAAAAAAGAGAAATTTTATAAAAAATTCGAAAATATTAATCGTTTTATAAAAATCAGATTGCCGAAAAAAATTGTTAATAAAAAACATGTAAAAATGCACCTTTTTCACTTTTAGTTAAAAAACTATAGTTATTATGCAATAAAATCTAAAATAATAATTTTCATATGAAAAAATTATTATTTTTGAAATTTTTATAAAATTTCGCTTTATTTGAGTACCTACATCACATAATTTTGAAAAAGTTTTTTTTTGAATAATATATTTTAATAATTTTTGAATAATGGGCCTGCTAATTTTTGGTAATTATAGTTGCGGGTGGAAGACATTATTTAATGCATAAAAGTAAATACTTTCCTAAATTAGTACATAAAAAAACAACTTCTAGACCATAGTCAGGTTAACAACTCTAAAAAAAAATTTTATGACCCACCCTAATATATATATATATATATATATATATATATATATATATATATATATATATATATATATATATATATATATATATATATATATATATATATACATATATATATATATATATATATATATATATATATATTTATATATATATATATATATATAAATATATAATAAAATAATATATATATATATATATATATATATATATATATATATATATATATATATATATAATAAAATATAATATATACCAATATAATATATATTTATACTTTATTTTAGATAGAGCTTTTAAGTTACTAAGAAATTATGCAATTAATCTTTTTTAAAATTATTTTAACAGTTTAATTTATACAATTTTAAAAGTGTATAATTGTATAAATTAAACGTATAAATTATTTTGATTAAAACTTTTTTTTAATAATCAATTGAATAAAATTCAAATAATTATAAAAAATAGTTTTTCAATTGTTTAAATGCATGTAACTTTTAAATTTAATTCACGAAAATTAGTTAAAAATCAGCTTGGGTTTTTACAAAAAAACCTGTTGATTTAAGTTCAAATAATCACAAAGAATTTTAAGTTGTTTTATTTTGTGCAAGTTTTGATTAAAAAAACAGTCAAGTCAAAGGATTATGAAGAAGTAGTTGACTTTCGTACCAAATTTTTCAATCTCCTCAGTGTGTCTGGATTACCACCACATGAGCTGAAACTTAAAGTAGGAGCAATAACTATCCTCTTTATAAATATGTATACTAGTATAGGATTGTACAAAGAAACACAGCTCTTTATGAAGAGGTTGACTGAAAAAACTTAATATTGTTTAGTAAAATACACATGAAAATAAATAGAAAAAAAATTTAGAGTAAACAAACATATGCTCACATTGAAGAAGGCAAAACATAGTATACCTTCTGATTTTTAATGAGTAAGAAAAATGTCTTAGTTCATCAAACCGATCAACAACTTTCATGTATTTAGTATAATAACATTGAAGTCTTTTCAATCAGTAAGTAAAAAAAAAATACCTTTAAATTGTTTGGAAAACTATATATTTGTATACTATATATCTAGCCTATATAACTAAAACCTTTAAATTGATTATATATTGACTATATTATAAAAGCTTTTAAACAATTTAAAGTTTTAACTACTGATAGAAAAAACTTCAATATTATTACACTAATTAGTTTAGTATACAGATATATAGTATATATTTGTATACTACATACCAATAATCTTTTAATAGAATTTAAATCAGTCAAAACCTTACAAAAAAGAATTGGGCCAAATAGCATTCCTTTAAAAATACTCATTCTCACATCTCAAGAATTTAGTTATGACTAACCCTGAACTAGATTTTTACATCTATCAACTTTAGTCTACAATATGAATAAACTTGTTCAAACCATGCCTTAATTAATATTACTGAAACTACACAAGAAGTTAGGAAAGAAACTACACAAAGGAAGATCAAAACATTTTGCTGGAAGATTATTTGTGGATATGCAAAAGGCATTTGACACAGTTGACCATGAAATACTTTGATCATAACTATATCATTATGGCGTCATAGGAAATACTGATTATGGTGTCATAGGAAATACTGATTATGGCGTCATAGGAAATACTGATTATGGCGTCATAGGAAATACTGATTATGGCGTCATAGGAAATACTGATTATAGCGTCATAGGAAATACTGATTATGGCATCATAGGAAATACTGATTATGGCGTCATAGGAAATACTGATTATGGCGTCATAGGAAATATCATGTGAAATACTCATTTTGCTGATGATGTCAGCAGATACTATTGATAGTTGAAAAATCCTTTAAGAAACTAAATAAGGATTTTAAATATATGACTAAAATTAAAAATCATGTTTGCATGTGTACATGCAAATACATACTTACACATACACATATAAATAATTACACTTATTTTATATCTCTATATGTTATTGCTGAACTTAATAGTAGTAGTAACGCCCTTTCAAGCTTTAAAATTTTTATTAGTTAACATGACAGCATGACCGAGTGGTTAGCTCGCAGAGCTTTTGATCGAAAAAGCTGTTGATCAACTCTTATCATTGGCACTTTTTAATGCCGATTTTCCCTGATTTTTGTTGTTGTTGATAACAAGTAAAAATTAATAAATGGGGAAGGGGTGGTCTTAATAAGAATGGGGTGGGTGGGAAAATTTCAACAAATTAATAAACATCCCGCCTCCTTTTTATTAGGGACTCAATAGTAAACCATAAAAAAAGGATAAAAGCAGCTTTTTTCATAAATTGCCGAAGCCAAAATTTTTAGCGTAAGTGGCATCACTTTGTGGCAAAAAACTATAATAAGATTTTATTATATGAAGGAGGTGCACACAAAATGTTCATTGAGAACCTAGCCAAATCCCACTTGTTAGTGTCTTTATTGGAGCAGGTATAATTGTAAACAACTTATAAGGAAATAATTTGATTAGATTTAATTATAATTTAATTAGATTTAATAATAATTAAAAGATAAAAAATTACTTATAAAATCATCTATTGTTTCAAATGCAACCATGGATCCCATTCGTTCAAAGTTTTAAAACTGGGTCCCATTACTTATAAAGGAATAATTTTTTGGTAATGTTAAAAGGCTAAAGAAGAAGTTAACTTTGTCCATGTTAAATCGAAACTATGAATCAATTTAAAGTTTAAACTAATATTTTAAATCTTTAATCAAGTAAGAAAAAAAGAAGACTCTTACTCAACTTATAGATAAATAAATTTACTAACAATAAATTTAATAAATTTACTTCTGTAAATAAATTTACTAACAGGGCTGAATGCAACAAAGTAATTAATTTGAAAATTAACATTATTTTTTAATTAAATTTGTAACAAATTAAAAAAATAACAATTTTATTTAGATATTTTTTATTCATACCATTTTCCTTTCAAATTTTGAGTTTTTCCTCTAGAATTTTTACTATTATACTTTTTTCCCCTTTCATCAGAGTTATCACATTTCTGTGAAGCATTTTTTATTTATACCCATTTGGTCTAAGAAGCTCTATATTCCTATGCTTATTTGTTTTTTTTTTTGATTAAACCATCACGATCAGATGCTTGCTGTATATGATCTTTTACAACAAGCAAGCAAATTTTATTTGCAAACTATATTATTAAAAAAAACAAAACAATATAGTTTGCAGCACGTCACAATGTATACTATGTATGCCGCAGCATACGTCAAGGAATCAAAGTAAAGGAGCAAATTATAAGTAGTAGAGTTATAGCAATTATATTGTAAACAATAAAAATTATTTTATATTTAATATGACAGTAGATTAATACCTTTAATTAACTAAAAAAACTCGCCGAAGATGATGCTTTGGCAAAAACAGACCCTTGCTTTGGCCGAAGCCAAAGCTTTAGTACATCCCTAGTTTCACTGCAGTAATCTGTTTATTTACTCAAAAATTATTGTTCTGTATACTCCATTGTGTATTTTACCTAACAAAATTGAGTTTCTAATACTGTATATTGCGATGGAAAGACTGATAGGTATTTTACTTACAGTGTTGTCTATGATCAAGTATTGATGTAATTTAGTCTTTCCTATGTACTTTAGCTGAATTATTGTATGTCCAATATATATAACACCTGCTGTGCCTATGGCTAAATAGCTCCATCAATTTTAACAAAATTTTAATTTCTTAGCCTTCGAATGATCTGAACCTTTATCAATAGTAAATATTTAAACAAAAACAAATGGTCTATACAAAAAAAAAACTTTAATTTCTAACCTTTGCTTCAAGATGATCTAAATCTTTACCAACAGATACAAAAAGTTTGCACAGACATTCTAATTGGTCTTCTGCTGACTCCACTTTTTCACATTTAAGAAGTTCGATTACACAAGTGTGCATAATATTCTCTGAAACTATCTAAATTAAATTATTAAATCTTACAATATAAAATCTTACAATATTAACTTAGAAAATTAACAAAATAATTTCCAATAGTCTATTGTTATATAAATCCTGAGCTGACTCAGCATTTTCACAGGCAACATATTCCTCTAAATCTAAATTGTTAAAAAAAAATTTATACTCAGTGTAAATATGCATCAAAAGCGTTTCCACTAGATATGGAATTAATATCTATAATTTGTGAACTGCTACAAATGAAAGTCCACATTTTATAAATATATTAGTTCTTATTTACTTAATGTGACTGCAAACAAAAACACATTAGTAAAACAAACAAAAAAAAACAAATAAAACAAAAAACAAATATGTACCAAAAATAAAAGCCAAAATGTACAAAAAGATAAATGAGACCAATCTGTAGTTGGTCATCATAAAAATAAATGAGATAAAAATTTAGTTGGCCATCATGCTTGTGGATTGTATCAAAATAAAATTCTGGACACCATTTTTAAAAATATTTATTCTATCAATTAAGAAAAAAGAAAGAAGCCACTTTAATGTAAAGTATAGATAAGCCATTAAAAATAAATTTACTGCTTGTATGTTATTAAAGCTGAAGATGCTATTCAGATATTAAATATTTCTTTAATGTTTGGTAAAATTGTGTTGCTTTATTTAGACTATGCATTGAAAGAAGAACATGATAAATGAAAAATAGATTGAAAATAAATTATATATCAAAATTTATTTTAAACATAACTTTATTTTCAGAATATAAAAAGATAATAGTTTTTTTTTTTTTTTTTTTTTAATTATTCACCTTCCCAAGGCTCGAGGGGGCCACTACAGTTGAGGAGGCTACTCGTTTTTTTGTTGTTGTTGTTGTTGTTGTAAATTGTGGTACAACCCTCTCTCAACTCTTAAACTCCGAAATACGAACCTTGACAAGCAAGACCGCTGCGTGGAGAAATTAAATTGAGCGCGGTACTTCCAGGGACGTGGTGGGAGTTGAACTCTGAACCGCTCGCTTACCACTACACCACTACCGCATATAAAGTTAATAGGTAACAAATAAAAAAAAAATTTTATATAAAGAAACTTTTTTCTTGTTTTTAGAGAATATAACACATCTCTACTTACTTTAAACTTAAATAACTCTCCCATGAAACGTATGATTCTGAGTCTTTGATTCGTTATTTCTTGCTAGGTAACAAAAACAAACAATATTTAATAAAAAACCTAAAAAAAAAAAAATATGAAAACAAGTCTTGAGAATCAAAAACTTTAAAAAAAAAAAAAAAAAAGAAAAAAAAAAGTAAAATAAAAACTAAATCTTTTTGGAATTTCAGAATGCATTCTGAAATTCCAAAAAAAGAAGATTTAAAAAGAAAAAGCTTGTCTATTTACTCTATATAGTTTATGTGGAATTTAAGTAATATATTCGATATAAAAATATTTTTTTAAAAAACACTAAAAAAGTCAAACAAGAATTTTATTTGTAGACTTTAGTTTTTGTGTCATTGCTAATCTTGTTGATGTTATCTTGGTTTCTTTCTTGTTTTGTTTTATAGAGAATCTATAAATAATATGGTAGATCAACTAATAAAGTAGTTTATACAGATAGGAAAAAAAAAAAAAAATAAAAAATTAATATTATTGCATAATATTAATTCTTAATTCTCTTTTTAACAACTTCTAATAGTTAATCAAGCAAACCTTTATGTTTTTAAGTTTACTTTGATTTAAAGTCTAAATGAATTGTAGCTGTAAATTTACCTAATAAAAAAAATTAATAAGATAAATGAAATGTACTTGAATTTATTGTAATATGTTTAAAAGTTTGATGTATTGAATGATATTGGAAAACAAAATAGTACTTACATTATCAATTTTTTTACTCTTCTCCTTTGTCAATAGTTTCTTTTCAGAAATGTTGACTTCTTTTTGACACTTAATTAAAAGAATCCCTTTAAATGTGCAATCAGGTTTGGAATTATCTGAAAAGGGTAGCTTAAGCTAAAAAATATATAAAATTGTTACAAAAAGTTATAAAAACTAAACACAATTTTTTTTTTTCTAAAATTTTAATTCACCTCCTCAAGGCCGAGAAGGCCACTACAGACGAGGAGGCTACTTATTTGTGGCTATAACCCTCTCTCAACTCTATAACTCCGAAACACGAACCTTGATAAACAAGGCCGCTGCGCGGAGAAACGAGTTGAGCGCGGTACTACCAGGGACGTGGTGAGGATCGAACTCCGAACCACTCGTTTATGAAGCGAGCGCTCTACCACTACACCACTACCGCATTACAACCACTCCAAACCACTCGTTTATGAAGCGAGCACTCTACCACTACACCACATACCGCAAATACAATTTAAAAAGCAAATATAATTACTTAAATTAAAAAACAGATAAATATTTATTTAATAATTAGTGGAAGACTGGGGGTCATAAAAATCTTCATAGCCTAAAATCCAATGAAAAAGAAAATTTTGAAGTGGGGCCCAGTACACCTTAATGCATAAAATTTTACATACAGAAAATAGTTTTAAAGTGAAGGATAGCTCTATATATTTTTCATGCCTATGCAACAACAATACAAAGAACTAATAGTAATTATGAGTCATTTACAAAGAATGAGACAATGTTTTCTACAGTGATATCAGCAAATAAATCTTTTTCAACATTTATCAACAAAAATGTTTCAAGATAATCATAAGATAATGTTGATTGCAGCCTAGTTTTTATAATTTTCAGTTTGATAAAAACCCTTTCACAGCTTAATTGAGGGTCAAAACAAAAGAATTAATGATTCTATGCAAGGAATAAAATGGAGTAGCCAGTTGTGGAGATAATTAAAATGCAAAACAAACATTGCAATAAAGACCTTTTAAGGAATTAGTTCCTACTCAAACAGTTATCACTACCATTTGACATTTTGCTATTTGACAGTTATTGTCAGTAAGACATTATTGATAAGCACAATTGGGATCAAAAGGTAAATTCTTTGCCTGTTCAAAATCGGGCTGTATTGCAATACTTATAAGAAAAATATAAAAAGTGCTACTGTTTTGTGTCCACCTCCTTGAAATTCAATGGATTGTAGATTGTGAGAAGTAGATGATGCTACTATAACAATTTCAACAGCTGAAATGATTGCAAGACTTTATAAATGAAATTGGATTTTAGGCTAAATCATTGGATTTTAGGCTATAAAGAGTACATGCTGTTTTAATGTCAACAATCCAAGTCAATAATTTTTGAGATTGATGAAACCCAAGGTCCTTCCTTTAGAAATTGTGTTATCATTGAACTTGCAGACTGGTTCTCAGTCTCAGACTTTTTTTGTGGCAAACCTTTTGGTTGCATCTTTTGTGAAAAAAAAAAATGCAACCAAAAGGTTTAAGAGTTTCTTCAAAAACTTACACATAGATACCTATGAATATTGTCAACATTTTATATATATCAAACTCAATGACTCTATCTCTGATTACCATAAATATTGGTTATATTAAATTGTATTAAAAATATGTTGTCCAATTTTCAAATTTAGGAATCTTTTTTGTTTTTAACAAATAAAGATTTGCACTGTTTGATTAATTTATTTGTTATTACTTTGTGATAAGATACCCAAGGCTGTATTGTTTGGTATTTATCTGAACTCATCAGAGTATGGTTGGAACAAAAAAATATTGTACCTCTTTAGAAACTCACCAAAGCAACTAGCTGTAAATGTCAACCAAGCTTCATAAAAACGAACTAACGTTCTGTGAACTTCACATACTGCTTTTTTTTATTTAAAAAATATTGTACTTCTTTAGAAACTTATCAAAGCAACAACCATAATATCTACAACCTACATTTTATCGCTTGAATGAAGCTATCTATGGAAGATTTGTCAAACAATCAACCACTTTTTTATAATTGCTTTTTGAGCAGTTTGTCTTTAACTAATGTGACTATTTTGATGATTAAATTTTTTAAATAATGTCACACATCAGTGTTAAATACCTTTTTCTTAAATGTTTCTTTGATGATAAAAGTAAATTGTAATCTTTTGCTGCAAAAACTCAAATTCAAAACATCCAATTTCAGCAAAAACCAAATCCAGGACTTAGATGTACACTAGATAGGTTAAAAAAAATGTTGGCTTACAGACAAATCACTCTAAGCTGGCATTGATAATTATTTCACAAAATTTTATTTTAGATAAAAAATCCAGCTCAATCCAACTCAAATGATGCATCTAAGCAAGTTGTTTCTAATAAGCATACAATTTGTGAATAATTAAAGTCTCCACATAACAAAAAACCACTGCAAATTTTAGGGGATTAGAGTTCTTGCTTCTTTAATTATTTTTTTTACTTTCAAGCAAAACTCATGCAACGATGGAAAGAGAATAAACTCATGCAATGATGGAGAGAGATATAGACTCATGCAACAATTGAGAGATATAAACTCATGCAACGATGTAGGAGAGTTTTATATACAATAAAACAGTATTTTATCTTTAGAAATTTTGCAACAGAATGTTCATCAGATCAGATTTTTTGGGTTATTTTTACCAATGCACATTATCAAACACTTCTTAAAATTAAATTTTCATATCCATTTGTTGGACCAGTTGACAGCTTTATCTAGGTCATATTGCATTAGGTTTACACTTGCTTCACAATTAACCCTTGATAATACTTTTTCATCATCAGCATACATTTTGGAAATATTAACAAAGTTCTCAGGCAAATCATTTATATAAATAATAAATAGTAAAGAGCCAATAACCAAGCCCTGTGGCACACTACTAAATATATCCTTCCAGAATGAGGCAATTTTTCCCATGACAACTCTTTATCTTCTATTTTTTAGAAATGCTTTAATCCATTTTAACAATGTACCAGAAATCCCATAATATTTAAGTTTTATCAGTATTCTTTTAGGGGGCACTAAATCAAATGCATTTGCAAAGTCTAAGTAAATTACAGGCACATTCTGAGATAAATAATATGAGATTGCACCTAATGTCTCAATAAGGTTGGTCGAACAAGATTTTTTTTTAACAAAACCGTGTTAATTTTTCAAAAGAAGATTATTTGCATTTAGAAAAATTCATAATTAAATCTCACACAACCACTTCTAGAATTTTACAAGTTACAGAAGTGAGTGAAATCCGATGATAATTCAATGGTTACAGTATACTTCCTTTTTTAAATTGAGGACTAATATTAGCTGATTTCCACTGAACAGGTAGTTAACTAAGAACAATGGAAGCTGTAAATATATGTTCCATATGCACATTTTTTTAAAATTAAAGGTTTAATAAGATCTGCTTCACGCGACTTCTCTGTATTTAAACATTCTAATCTATCTAGAATATCTTTGTGTGAGATCATATCAAATTTTTATTGATTCTAGATGCAAATGCTGGCAAATTAAAGTCATTCTTGTGGACAAATACATCTTGGAACTTGTTATTTAGAAAACTTACAATCTGATTTGGGTCATTTGTTACTATTCCATTTTCATTATGTAAAGTTTTCATCGAATTATTGATCTTTCGTTGGCCATTCACATATTTGTAAATTAACAAAATATAAATTATTCTTTACATTTATACCAAAACTTCCAGCAAGATTACAAATTCATTAATGTAAGTCATTTATATTATTATAACAATTAATGGTTTTAACTATTTCATTAACAAATTTAATTCAATTAAAAAAAGGAAGAAAATGTCTCAGCTTAAATGAAATTAATAATTAAATACAAGAGCCTCAATAAAACAAAAATAATTTTAATAAGAAAAAAATTGAACTTAATAAAAAAGAATTAAAAAAGCTAAAAAATTAATCTTCAAAATAAATTATGCATCTAATAATACAAAAAACACAAACACAAAATCAAATTTAGGATATAAAAACATACACAGTCAATTAAGGATTGACATAAATTTGCATACACCAAGCTGCACACTGGCTCACTGACTGCTTTTTCAAATATTAGGTCAACAATAATTTCCAATTTTTGTTTAGTGTCAATTTTAAATTCATTAAAGATTTTTATTTTAACTTTATTAGGAATTGATATAAATGTTTTAGGTGTCATCAATATTCCACGTAAACTTTTAGCAATTTCCTAAAAACATAAAAAGAAAAAAAATATATAACCTTGAATGGTTTTTTTTTTCCAAAACTTTTTTTTCCGAAATTTTTTTTCCCGAAAATAATTGTTTTAAATGAAATGCTAAACCAAAAACATTTAAAAACTTAAAGAAAGATTTTTTTTTTAATGATAGATTGCCTGCTTAAACCAAATCTTTCAATCTATGTACACTCTCTACATATTCTACCCATTTAAGTCAGTTGATCTATGTATATTTCTTGCATGTTTTACCTAATTAAGTCAGTCAATGTACGTAAACTTCTTTTAATAAAACAAAATACATGTAAAAACAGTATTAAAAAATAAAAAATAACAATAAAAAAAACAACATTATTGTTTAAAAAAAAAATTTCTCGTCATAGTTTTTGCAGTTTTTTAAAAAGTGATTAGACTTGATGTACATCCACAACTATTTAATTGTTTTAACATTTAAATAACCATTAAAAGTATATATATAAAAATCATACTATAATCATAATATATTTGTATCATGTATTTACTTTTATATATCTATATATATAAATACATGCATGAATATTATTCTTTTAATAATAGATACATCCCAAAAGCTTGGATCAAAATAAATGTCAGTCCAATCTTTAAAAAAGGAAGCAAATTAGAACCATCCATTAACAGATCAGTCTCAATTACATCACCATCCAATTACAGATTAGTCTTGATTACATCAGTTCAATGCAAAGTTATGAAACAATTTATTAAGCAACAAATAAACAACCATTTAACAATTACTAACTTTATCAACTAGAAATATAATGGTTTATTCCAAGTGATTCTTGTGCAATCTACTTAAGTGTACAAATTTTGTGACAAAATATATAGCCAATAAAAGTAGTGTTGTTATGATATATCATATGGTATATATATCAACCTTTCTGAAGCTTTTAATAAAATGCCACATTGATGGGTGAGGTAATAAAATAATGATTTTTATAACAAATAGACGGAAAGGGTAGTTATGGGTCATGATGTGTTGTATTGGGTGAATTTGATAAGTGGTGTACCATAGGGACTTGTACCATAGGGACATTATTTGTCTCCTACATAATTGACTTACCAAAAGAACTAAAAATTAGATGTTCCATTTATGCCAATAACACTAAATTAATAAAACTTATAAAACCGAAAAAACATTTAAATTTACTAGAATTTCAAGAACGTATTAACATGCAAAAATCTGTGAGCATTTTATTTAAACCAGCAAGCCAGATAACCAAAATGGAAAGAGGTTAATGTTATTTTTGCAATGATATGTCAAAAAATGGAACATGAATGGCCATGCATATTAAGAAATATAGGAAATGTATAGTTGAAGTCAAGTGCAAGTTTTTCAATGATATTATGTAAAAAAAAAAAAAAATCATGACAGAAACAACACAAAGTAAACATTAATACATTCACAAACATTGTTTCAGACGCTTTAAAACCAGTTCAGAACCAAATTCTAAAAGTGATAAACCCTGTTCAATGTTTGATAGCATGAAACAATGTGAAAAGGTATCAACATACTGTATTTATTATGCAAGAGGGTCACCCATGGGTTTAGTTGATAATAAAAACCTTTTTAAATAACTTATATCCAGCTTATCAGCTACAATGTGTATTAAATTCTACAACAAGAAATAGCTGGTTATCAGATATTTTTTGGGAAAAGGTTCAAGGATTTTTTAAGCTGCTACACTACAAACACTGCTACCAATAGCTGATGCAATCAAGATAGCAGAGACCAACAGCAAAATTTTGTTGTCTATAACAAAAATTCATATGGATGCTAACCTACTTGACCTCAAGTCTCAAAAAAGGTACTTAAATGGGGAATAACTGTCTCAAAAAAGGTATTTAAATGGGAAACAAAAGTCTCAAAAAGGTATTTAAATGGGGTTCAACTATTACTAACTTTTGCTTATTCTTATTAAACTAATCTAAATTTTAACAAATTGATGCATGTGAAGTAATTTATTCAATTGCTGTAAACTCACCAACTACCAACATATATATTTTGATGTCTGATTTAGCTAATTACCAATATAAAGGAGAAGGTTTTTAAAAAAGTTTTGTACAGACAACTATTGACCTAAAATTTGCTCTAAACTGTTAGAAGGGATTATGTTCATCTACTGAATTATCAAAAGCAGCAGCAAAAATTCCTCAGCGACCGGCTACAAGTGCTGTAGCCTCCTGCTACAAATGCTGCTTGCAAAAGAAGTTTTGGCAGTTAATGTTCATAGTGCCAAAAGAAACAAATTTTAAATTAAAAACTTGAAATTATTTCTTATCAAATTTTGAATTTAAAATTAAACAAAAATTGAATTTTAAAAAGTGCAAATAATTTTTTAGCCATTTTACCAATAAAAAAATCAGTATTTTATTAACTCTTTTGTGAGCTCAATTGCATCCTTAGATATACATATTATTAATATGTACTTAGATATTTATATTATAATATACCTTATGATATCTGTATATAATATATCTTAGATATACATATTATTAATATGTACCAAATGACAATATTTCCAACTTTATTTTGTATATGTGTATAAAAAAATCACTTAATAACAAAAACAAAAACAAAAAAAAAAACCCATTAATTAAGAAAAAACTTTCTAGTCAAAGTTTTTCCGGTTTTTTTAAAAAACAATTTTAAAAAACCACAAGCAGATGTACTTAATCTACATTGATATCTTAAAGTATGGTAGTTAAATTCATACTCAATTTTATTTGATAGAGGCAATGATATGATCTAGGGATTGATGAATTTTTATATAAAAAAAAAAATTTTTACATAAAAATTTATACATAAATTTATACATAAAGGTATAAACCATAAACCATAGAAAAAAGAATAACAACACTTTTAGCTTGGCAGTTAGGTTAGCATTGCCGAATGCCAAGCCTAATTCCAAGGGCTGATAAATATATGGGCTAAAATCTGAAAGGAGGACAATTGATTGGGTACAAAAGCAAAAACAATTATTGTTTTATAAGCTAGTGAAACTATTGCCATTTTGTTGATAGAAGGGTCCCACAACAGATTTGTATAATGACATCAATCAAACCTTGAAATTTTTTGACATTTTTTTAGAAGAACAACTTTTAGATGCACACTTGTGCAAAAACATTATTTCTGTAACAATTACTAACAACACCAAAATTATATAAAATAATAATTATTGCCCTTCCATTTATAACTGTTTTTTTCATTATGCATATTGTCACAAGAAATTAATGCAATTCTTTACTCAACCCTCAGAATTAGGTTCGGCAATGCTAACCTTACTGCTGACCTGAAATTGTTTGAGGTTGGCAAAAAATTGCCGACCTCGTTTCTATGTTTTAATCAGACCTTTATATCAAATAATTTTTGCTGACCTGATGCCGACCTCAAAAAGATTGAAGTCGGCAAATTATTGTCGACCTCATTTTTCCTAATTGCGAGGGTTGTTTACTCTAGATTGAAATTTATTTAAATTGTTTAAAATATTCGGAAAAATTAGACTTTAACAAATATATCTTTGCATAATTGAAAGATAAACAAACATACAATAGTTAAATTGATAGACAAGCAGTAGAACATGATATTCTAAAGAAATATGATTGATAAAATGTGCAAATGGAATGAAAATAAATTTTGAATGTAATAAACCAAGGAGTTACAAAAATGATTCAAAAATTACAGAAATGACATGTATGTTGCAGAAATGACAGAAAATTTTTTTTAATGAAAACAAATTGGAATAAGCATATTATTGTTGTGCTTTAATGAAGTATTAAGCTGGAAGTATTACATATTACACTTGTATGCATTATTTATTTTGGGTAAATAGTTCTTCAATGTCATTAGTATCGAGGAATTGAAAAATTGCTTGAGACTTGGATTCCGTTTGAAGTGATTCTTGTGAAATTGTACAGAAAATATCAGTTTCCAAATTATCCTCTACATATTTTGACTTTGGCCACACGAATTTGTGATTTTTGCGGGGACCAGTACTTTCCATGAAAGACACAGTTAGGACACCATTGTGCCTATCTTCAAACAAACCTATTTAAAAGACAATAAATAGAATTTCATAATTAGACTTTAAATAATTAAGTTAAATCAAACTAGCTGTAAAACCTCTATTAAGGTTTTTTATATGATTTGGGCCTTTATAATTTTTTAGTGTAGCGCTCTTATATTATATTATTATTAATATATTACTTATATTCTTTTGAAAAAAAACTCAATTTGTAAAATTATTGCGCAAGAAGGTTACCGGATGACTTACACATTATAATATGTTAAAATAATGAACAAATGATTAAATTTTAAAATTAAACTAACTTATCTGGATACTAGTCTTTTCCGAAAATCATGGCCACCCAATAATCATTTACAAGTGAATGGTTATCTATAGAAGAAAACCCTTCAATAGCATCTTGATAAACTGCCAACCACAAATTGGATCCAGATCGACCAAAAAGAAAGCAGCTCGAATCACTTGGTCGACCGTCAATGCAGGACCATGTATCGGATCTTAATCGATTGAGAAGGGAGCACCTTAAATCACATTTTGGATGACCATCGAAGACCCCATCTTTCTCAATTGATAGATCACCATTATCTATACATAAAAGGTGTCACAAATGATGAAATATTTTTAAAAAATCAAACAACTCGTTAAAATTGTTCAACTACAACGAATTAGAAAACAAATTAAAAATATATATTAATGTTTCGTATCAAGACAACAAAATGTTAAAACAAACAAGTACTAAAAAGCTAGTATGGGTACTTACTAAGAGTTTTGAAAGTTACTTTTCCTTTTCCAAGTTTGAAGTGACTCAGACACTCCCAAACTCACAATTGAAACAGGACACACTTCTCAGAAATATAGATGCTGATTCTAACTTCGTCCAAGTAACTTGATGAACATCCAAGATGTATGTGTTTAATTAAACATAAATTTTGTAAGATTTGAAGCACACACATTATATAAATATTAAATAATCACAAACATTGTGTTATTGTAATTAAAGTTAATTTTTTAACCAACTTTTTCAATAGACATTTTTTTACTAAATATAATTTTCTAACTGGAACAGCTGTTACTTTCTCTGGTATACATTTTTTCATGTTTTTGATATTTGCTGAAGTTATCTTATTAAGATGAATTCCAGGGCATATTCTAGGCAAATGGATGACAAATTCTGAAACTGATGAAATGTCTTTGGTTCTTGCAAAATATTTTTCAGCGCTGCGCTTCAGAGTAGCACTAACTCCATCCATTGGTCCTTTACCATGACCTGCCTCTGAGTAGATCCATGAACAGTATTTCACATTTAAACATAGGCTCAGAACAGGAGTCAGATGTGCCCATATGGCATGTGCATTATGATCAAGATTTGCTGAAACTAATGTGAATGATTGAACTGTGCATGATTCACCTACTTCCGAAGCTTAATATTGCACTCCTGTGTGCAGAGAGAATTGTACCTTAGCAGTACCAAAACGCATACTTTGAGATTCTTTGAATAACTTGCAGATGTAGTTTTTTAAAAAGTCTGAATGATAGTTTCGTTGCATTTTAAGTCACTTTTCTTTAACTTGATTTTTCTAAATTGGTGTGTCATGACAAATAAGTGTTGCATGAATGGATATAGCAACAATTTAAATTCTTTGATCAATCCTGTCTTTGTTGTTTTTATGGTTGCTTTCTGATAATATTAATACGCTAATTTAATATTATTAGTCAAATTACGTCATTTTCTAGGCTTTTCTATTTTAAAGTAGTTTCTAGGCTTTTCTATAAGCGGTTTTATATTCCATGCGGTCTTTCGAGCTAGGTATTTGAGTAGTTGATTAGAGTTGATATATTTGTATTATTATTTGCGAAGAATTGATGTTGTTTATTTATTTATTAATGTTTTATTTGATCTTGATTATTTTTATTTATTTTTTTTTTTTTTAGTAGAAGTTTTTAAAAAATAAAAAATGACTGGTAAAGTAGTTTTTTTAGTACTTTATATTTTTATAACAGTTTTTAGAACAACTATTGTTTTATATTTTTATAACAGTGATTGTTTTTAAAACAACTTTTGTTTTATATTTTTATAACAGTGATTGTTTTTAGAACAACTATTGTTTTATATTTTTATAACAGTGATTGTTTTTAGAACAACTATTGTTTTATATTTTTATAACAGTGATTGTTTTTAGAACAACTATTGTTTTATATTTTTATAACAGTGATTATTTTTAGAACAACTATTGTTTTATATTTTTATAACAGTGATTGTTTTTAGAACAACTATTGTTTTATATTTTTATAACAGTGATTGTTTTTAGAACAACTATTGTTTTATTTTTCAGAACAATTCGAAGCAATAGAAGACCTAATTAGTAAGTTTAATTCATTTTATTATTTATATTTTATTTTTTGTTTGGAGAAGGGTTAATGAGAATAAAATTTTTTAGACAGGCAAGTTGACATCGAAATAAGTATATTTTGTTATTTATTAACTAAATTATCAGATTAGTTTCAAGTAGGAATACCATTTTCTCTAATAGCTGTTGTTTTAATTTATTGTTTAACAATTACGTTATTAAATCATCAAATACATAAATACTTTATTAAATTAACAAATACATTTTTATTAAAGATTATTTTTGTTTTGATTTTATTGCTTAATTTTTATTTTTTAGACAGACAGATAGATCTCAGTAAGTTTGTTATTTTTTAGACAGACAGATAGATCTCAGTAAGTTTTTTATTTTTATAGATTTGAGAGCAGTAAGCTTCTTTTTTATCTCAGCTTTTTTCATTGAAAGAGCATCATATTATTGAATATGTTTGGCAAATATACATTTTTTCATTTAGGTATTGTTTCAGCAACTTTTACAAATGGTGATGTCTTTTATTTTATTAAACAAGAAGAGAGATTTATTTAAACATTTATTGTTTATTTGAACATTACCATTTATTGTTTATTTGAACATTACTTATCATTTATTGTTTATTTGAACATTACCATTTATTGTTTATTTGATCATTACAAAAATAGCTTTTTTTATTTAATTTTTTTTATTTAGTTATTTCTTCTGTAGCATCAACCTCCCCAGGTTAATTTATACATTTAATTTTTAACAATAAAAAATGTTTATTACCATCATGCTTAAATAAATTATCTTTATTGATTTATTCATTTCATTCAGTTGTGTCTTCTGCAGCATTGACCGTCCCAAGTAACAATACATTTATTTAGATTTTTTTTCTTGAAAAACTAACAATAAACATTCTTTATTGGAACATTATCTTCAGGATTTAACAAAAAATATATATTTTTAAATATTTATATATTTTTCATTTAGTTGTTTTAACTGCTTCATGTGCCACTTCTGGTAACTTGATACATTTTTTTTTTTGATTTGTTACATGAAAAACATTTTATTTCAATTTGTTACTTAAAAAGAGACAAGTAATAAATATTGTTTATTTGAACATTATAATCAGAATTAAATTGCCTTTTTTTATTATGTTTTTTGTTTAGCTGTTTCATCGGCATCATTAGTCTCTTCAGGTAGCTAATTATTATTTTTTTGGTTATTTTTTGTTTGGGTCAAACATTTTAAAATCTTTATATTAGCATGTCAATATTTTTAGATATCAATGAAGTATCAAGTAAGTTATATTAGTATTCAGATTTCACTTTTTACTTTTATTAAATAACAAATTAAATAAAAAGTTTTTTTTTATTTTTTTATTTCAGCTCTAAGGCAACAGATTGGTAAGCAAAAATATATCATATGTTTTTATCTCCCCAAAGCTTGATAGGCTGTTACAGTTAAGGATGCTACTTTAATTGTGGTTGCGACCCTTTCTCAACTTAAAATTAAAATTTTGAAACGCAAACATTGTAAAACAAGGCTGCTGTGCTAAGAAACAAGTTAAGTGCGGTACTATCAGGTACATTTGATCTTATAACTACTCTACCAATATGCACAATAACCATGTAAAGTAATTATATTTACCAATAAGTAAAATAATGAACTTACCAATATATAAAATTATATATTTAACAATGTATATCTTATGATGAATATTCTAAAATATATCATTCAAGATATATTTAAGAAATTATATTAAATTTTCAAGTTTTTATTTTTTAAGTTCTTCTGCAAAGGCGAGTTGGTAAGTTGTACATACTGTTTCCATATTTTTAAGAGAAAAATATTTTTAACATTTTTATATATAGCTTTGTTACATATGTTGAGAAAAAAAATTCAAATGTTCGTTTAATAGTTTTTTTTATCTAGATGAATTGTTAACAAACAAATCTTCCAATGGTGAAATTTTATTATGTCTTTTCTAAGTATTTTTATTTATCTTTTAGCAAGGAAGACGAATCTGTAGATATATGTTTATTATGTTTGGGTAAACAAGCTAAAGCCCTAAACGGTAATTCTAAAATCATACTTACAATAACATTATCTGCTTTAATGAAGTAAAGACTTGACTATAAATAAAAGAATTAGGAAAAAATGATGGAGAATATTTTCTTTATTCTAATTTTTATTTTTAGAACTTATATATGACAATTACAAGCGTTATCAAGTTACCAAGCCTGGTCCTTTGACCCAAAAATCATTTTGAAGATGGGTGCAGTATGGGGGGTCAGACCACCCATCATTTAGATGGGGTGGTCAATACTCCCCCGGGTTGAAGGAATGGGGGAATAATAAAAAACTTTCTTGTCTACAATTGAAATATTAGCAGACATGAAAGTTTTTATAAATGTGCGTATGTGTGTATATATATATATATATATATATATATATATATACACATTTTCTTTTTTTCTTTTTTTTTGTAAATAATTTTTCTTTATTTTAACAGTATGTAAGTGTGTGTATATATATATATATTAGTAGACATGAAAGTTTTTATAAATGTGCGTGTGTGTGTATATATATATATATATATATATATATATATATACATTTTCTTTTTTTCTTTTTTTTTGTAAATAATTTTTCTTTTCTTTAACAGTATGTAAGTGTGTGTATATATATATATATATATATATATATATATATATATATATATATATATATATATATATATATATATATATATATATATATATATGTATATTCATATATATATATATATATATATATATGCACACATATATACAACGTTTGTATATATTTTTTGTTATAATTATTTATTTTGTAAATAACTTTTGTTTTTTCTAACAGTATGTATATTATATATTAGCCCTTGAAAAAATGAGGTCGGCTATTTATTGCCACCCTTAAACTGTTTGAAATCGGCAATTATAATTGACACAAAGAAGTTATCGTAAAACATCGAAATGACGCCTGTGCTTTTTTGTTGACCAAATACACATTTAATTTGGCATTGCTGAATGCCGACCTTAATTTTGAGCGTTGATATATATATATATATATATATATATATATATATATATATAATATATATATATACACATGTATATATATATATATACATGTATATATATATATATACATGTATATATATATATATATATATATATATATATATATATATATATATATATATATATATATATATATATATATATATATACATTCTATGATTTTGTTTGATTTTCTGATTTTTCAAGTTAAAATCGATTTTTTTCAAACTTTACCATACTTAATAAACAAGTTTTTATGAAAACTTTTGATTTTTATTAAACTTTAATTTCTTCACTTTCAATTCGGTTTTATTGAGATCAGATAAACATGCTTTTTACAAATAAAACTCTGTGTCTAAAGTGCTTTTGTAAATAGGTTTCATTTTTTTCTTATTAGCCTATATATTGTTCTGTTTGCACTCATCAGCTATTGTTAGTGGTGATTTTGTAAAACTGTAATCAGCTTTTTACATAGTCACATAGAATTTTAAACAACTAGCTAAGCAAGTTTAACATTATTTTTTAGTGCTTTTTAGTTACTTCAATACACTTTATTGTTGTTTTTGTTATTAGAAGGGTTAATTATAACAACGTTTTTTAAAAATGTTAAACTGCTATTGATTTGGGTAAGTTTACAAGTCAGTTTTGATTTTAGTCGGAACTTCGTTTAAGTATTTAACATGAAAAATTTCAGACTGTTACACATTTACATTTCAGTAAATTTTATACTTCTCTGTACTAATAGCTATATTTCCTCTTAAAAAAAGTAACAGAAAAAATGAAAAAACTTTTATTGGAAGTTGTTGCTGAAAAAAAAGATTTTGTTTCTCTATTTTTCTTAGTTTAAAGTGTAATGCTTCTCTTTAAAAAAGTATTAAAATATGTTTAATGTAATTTGTAAAAATCTGTTCTCTATTTTTCTTTTTTTAATTGTTTACTTTACTATAACTTCCTACTAATATGGAATCACGTAATTTTTTTAATATTATATATTTAATCATCGTCCCTATAAGAAATAAATATTTTTAATTATTTTAATATGGTTTTCTGTACAATAGGCTATGCTTGGCTCTTCAGTCCTGTAGATGGCAGCTGTTATAACTGATTTTGAAAAGTGCCTTCAACGTTTACTGTTTTTTAAGAAAATGTGTTTTATATAGGTTTTTATTAAATATTTTTGTTACATATTTAACTATATATCATGTAAATAAATTTGTTTTAAAGATATGTAAACGTAAGACTTGCTTTTTTACCAATTTTTTAAAAAGTGAACACAAGTTTAAATATACACATATATATATTTTTACAACTGTTTTATATGGTTTTATCCATTTTTATATTATTTTATCTGTTTTATAACTTTTTTAGCTCATTAGGGATAAAATACTTAAAATACTTTGAGGAGTAGAGGGAGTCTGCAAATGGCGATTATGGGATAGAAGGGCTGTGAGTAAATGTTGGGTAGGTAGGTTAAAAGTTTGTATTCACGTAAGTTAAGTAAGTCACCTAAGTTAATTCAACTAAGTTAAAAATTTGTATTCGCGTAAAGCGTAACATTTACTTCAAAAATGTCGATTAAAAGCAATTGTTTTTTCATCAATCATCAAAATTTATTTCACTTGACCTATACAAAATATAATAAAAAGATAAGACAAACTCAAGGCGAAATATATTCCCAATTTTCACTAAATATTTACTGCGTTAGTATATATTTGGATGGGATGAATGCTGAAATAAATATATGTTGATATACGTTAACTATGAAGTAAATAGGTATATTCGCTTACCGTATTTTAAAAGCTAAAGTAATAAGCATTAACATTATGGGAGTCGTATACAGTGATTAGTTTTTTCCGTAATTTCTGATATATTTTTTAAGTAATAGTCTTTCCGGATATCCAAAACAATTTTTATACGTTGAAATTTTACAATTTAGGTACAATTTTGTGATATTTGTTTTTTATGCTTTTCACTCATCACTTTTATAAAAATTAAGAAAAATTCTTTTTGTAAAAAAGAATTATAAACGACTTAGTTACCTAAGCAATTTTCCGGAATTTTAATAAAAGACATGGATAATTTTCTATGCATATAATTTAAGTCATAATATATTTAGTTTGTTGTGATTAGCGCAAAATGTTTAAACATTTCGAAATAAATGGTTAATTGTACTTTAAATGAAGCTAAGAGTTATGTTAAGAAGCTGAGAACAATAAAAGTGAGCAGAACTAAAAATATATAAAATAAATTTATATTTCATTAGAGAAAATAATATATTGATATTAATGACACTAATAACCCGTATTATTAATAATTTATTTATTAACAACCCGTATTACGGGTTGCTTACTGCTAGTGTGCATAAATAAGATTTCTTTTTCTTTGCTTTTTATCAGCCTTTTCTTGGTTTTTGTTGCCCATTTGCTGTAAGAAATCTTATTGTCATCAAGATTTTTGGATAAGCTGATTAGAATAACTTTATTTTTACAGGTGTTACATTTGTGGTACATATAATTTCTTTCATTTATGACAACAAATTGTGGTACAAATATTTTCCAAGTTACTTTCAGGAAAGATTTGATGAAGTTTGTTAGCATCAAACTGAGTATTTCCATATTTTGAACATGCACAAGTTTCTCTGTCTTTGACTTTGACGCAAAAATGATTGGATTTGCATAGATTCCTTTAATCTTGTTCCACGCACAGTTCATTTTGTACTTGAACAAATTGTTTGCCATTCCAATTAACTTGTATTTTCTAAAAAATGGATTAGCCACATATTATGCCAGTACTTCTTTATTTCTAATTCCAATGACTTTTTTTTGGGTGATGAAACAACCACCTCTCCAAATAATTTTTTTTTTCTAATTTAAGGTGTAATCCATGAGCAATTAATCTATGAGAAGGTGTTCCATGAGCAGTAAATCTATGTATGTGTGAACCTGATGATGGAGTCGTTTTCAATTTCTTAGCCCATTGAATTCTTTTCTTATATTTAAGAATGCAAGTTTTGGCTTTTTTCAGGTCTTCCATTGTCTTTCTTAACTCTTCTCCTTTGCTTTTCAAATCTCTTGCTAGCTTTGACAACCCAATTCTGACTTTCTTTCTTCCAACAGATTTCCTTGATGGCGACATTTCTTCAATATTTGTTGGCACATTTATAGTTGGAAGCAGATTTCCAATAATGACGCTTTTGCAGCTTTTTTTATCTCTATACGCTTTAGAATTTGACATTAACCTCTTTTTGATAAAAGAAATTAATGTGAAAGAGATTAAAGAGTGCTCAATATTAAAAAGATATTTCAAATAGAGCGATATACACATATAAATTAACGAAGAAAAAACAACTTTTTCTATGCTACTTTAAGTTTCATGCCTATATGGCAATTATCTGCAAT